TCCCCCACCAACCATTAACTGTATAAAAAATCCCTGGTGGGGGCATGGATTCTTCTCCCACCAAGACAGGGTTTTGATGGATCCAATCTTGTGCAGATCTTGTGTGGACAACTACAGCAGTTGAGATCAAGAGTGCAACAGTCATGTTACACTTAGAAGCATCCACCACCACCCTGAGCCTTCTCCGTCTCTTTCTATTCCTTGTACAGTGTTCTCTGAGCCTTAGAGAGCATGACACAACATTTCATTTATGGCTGAACATCCAATTGTTATTTATTCTCTGTGTAGTTATGAGTCCCTGCAGTAACTGCGATCACCACCAAAAGAAGGTTCTCTGGACAAAACTGACAGCAGTTAGTTGTTTAGAAGGCAATTCGATGGGCAGAGCATGTCTATCTAGCAAAACAACAGCAATAGCTTCCCTACGAGGGCCTATATCTGAGCAATGGGCTCTTGAGGCTTACAGTACCAGACATGAATTCCTTCTCATGCAGTGGGCATCAAATCTGATCAGATAGTGGTTGGCTACCCAGTAACAGACCTGGTATTGTTGCAACGCTGGGCTCATCTTATCTAGCTAGTTGATACTGTTGTACACATGGTCCAAGGCTGAGAGGACTGTTGATGGCAGTCTCCCCCAGCAGTCTGCAGAGCATCTTCAGGCACTGAGGGCTAGCCAGCAGGGAGCAAGTATCTAGCCCAGTTCCAGCTTTATTTCTCTGCATTGTGACCAAGGCATGGGGCATCTGCAGAAATGGGTTCTGGTGAGCAACCAATAGCAAGCAACAATTGGTTAGCTATCTTTGCTTTGTTTTCAGGAATTCCACATTAAAAAAATTTTTTTTAAAGAAAAATGTTGACAGTTACTTATATTCAAACTTCCTTGCTGCATTGTTTTCAAGATTTACAAAATTTAAAAATTGTTTAAAAGAAAATGTTGACAGTCATTTAACATTTTCAGATCTTAGTTTTGGTTGTTTCTGCTTTTTACTAGTATATACCAATTGTACCAAATAATGGGTTTCCATGTGACATTTTCACACGTGCATATTATGTATTGTGATGGTATGAATAAGATGGCCACCATAGTCAGTAGAGAGTCTTTGATAAGATTAAAGGATTAGGAGGTGTGCCTTGTTGGAGGAAGAGTGTCACTGGGAGTGAGTAGGCTTTGAGGTTTCAAAAGCCCATGGTAGGCCCAGGTTCTTGCTCTGCCTGAGGATTGGGATGTAGCTTTCAGCCACATCTCTGGCACCAAGCCTGCCACGCCTGCTGCCATGCTTCCCACTGGGATAATAATGAACTAAGCCTCTGAGACTGTAAGCAAGCCCCTAATAAAATGCTTTCTTTTATGAGTTACCTTGGTCATGGTATCTCTTCATAGCAGTGGAACAGTGACTAAGACACATAACTAAGACAGGGATATTTAAAAATAGTTATGGGGATTGGTACAGACAAAATCCTTAAAGGAAGTAACTATTTAGAATTGTCCTTTTGTTGGCATCTGGAAGACATGTGCACCTTGGGGAAATCTACCACAGTACTACTGTACAACAATGAGTCGTTCCTTTGCCGATGAGGACAAAGGTGATGGTGAGCTGACGTGGGAAATAAGAACTAGCAATGGGCTGCATTCATAAGCAGGTCAATTCTGTTAAAGGTACATACGCAGAAGTCAATCTGGAAAATGGGTCCCATAAAATGATCTGTGCCTATACACCTATTTATGGGATGCGTGTGCTTATCCATTTTAAGACCACTGGTTCCCCCTTTCCATCCTCAAGAAAATGGAAAACTTCCAGGAAGATGGAATAATGAGAAACACAGTGTGTCAGACCCACAAAGCCACCACTGCAGGATGGTTCTTACAGCTCAGGGGGCTCCAGGACAGATATCTCAAATAAGAGACAGTTCTGAGCAAGTTGTTACATCTTGGTTAGAGGCTGCATTTTCTACCACTATGTGGTAAAGTTTAGCAGTTGGTTAGTTGAGAAAACAAACCACTGTCAACAGAAGGGGTGTGTTATGACAGCCAGCAGAGCACTGATTAGCAATAGCTGGACTTGGACTAGAAACAGCTGTCTCTATGAAAATAGCATCCCCAGGAATGACAGCAATATACCAAAGTCCTGGTTTACTAGTAGGTGGCATGGCTTCAAGAGGGAGGGAAATGGATAAGATCACTAAGGAGAGATTAAAGTTGAATGTTGGTAAGCTTTGTTATAATGGTACTCATAAAGTACACAATTTACAGTCTATGTACTCTGTACTTTTTTAGTTCATTTGTCTTTCTGAAAGGCTGGAGCCTCACTACCTATATTGGGGTTCACTTGGTTTGTCTGTTAAATATATAAAGTCTGGGGGCTGAAGAGATGCTTAGCAGTTAAGAATACAGCTGTAATGCCAGCTCCAGGGATCCAATGCTGTCTTCTGGCCTCTTCAGGCATGAGCTGCCTTCCCCCCCCCAACACATGACAAAATTAAAAACATCAAAAATACAAAATTGTTTTCTTATTGCATAATATAGAATTAAGGGATGCGAAAGAAAACAGATGAAACCTTGGAATCTGAATTTAAATCCAGCATTGAAGATTTTTATACACTTCTGAGGTTGAAAGCAACTGATTGGTGTCCTACTGTGGACATGTAGATTAATTGTAACTGGAGGTTTCAATCCTATGGGACAAACTGGCAAACTGGCAACATCCACTGGGATAGTTGAGGTCCAGGGTTAGACTTCCTGGCACCCTTTTTTTCCCCCTGTGCAGTGATTTAGCTGTCTTTCAACTATGAAGAAATGCATTTCTTGTTTCTTCTCCTCTTTCCCCCAATGTCTTCTAAATGTTAAGGTATTAATGCAGGAATCCCACTGAAATCATCAGATTTCTTAGAACAGATGGTACCTGTACTTTAAAAAAAATCAACGAAACCACTATCTATTAAGTGTCTATACACAGCTCTACCCGTGTTAGGTGCTGTAACACAAACCATTGAGATGAGGGTAATGGCAGCAGTTAGGAATACCTCATTCCAGTCTGATGGCCCAGTACATCAGTTTCAACAAGTTCACTTCAAAATGGACAGAAATAGTGACTATATAGATGAACACCCAAGGCATTTTTTTTTCTTCTTGTTCATAGTGGAGACACCAATAGGTAGATTAACAAGAGAAAAGCATATAGATTGTTTAAACCTAAAACAAGCAGGGCTTGCCTAATGGTAAGGCATATTCACTCAGATTCTGCTTGGTGTCTTTATCTTTGAGGATAAAGATGTTTCTTCCTCCCTGAATGAAGAGTGGGCATGGGGAATAAAGGTTTTTTGTGAGCAAGTTCATGTAAGAGGCTGCTAGTTTTACAACCCACTTTGGGGGAGAAGAAATAAGGAGGGGTGTGAGTACCCTCACATTTTTTTCCCACTTTCTAAGATGCCCAGGTATTGAATGATAGAGTAGTGTGTCTGTACCCCAGTGACACTGAGGTGGAGAGACCACCTAAATCTTCAGTTAGGTTCCAAGTAAGGGTCCTGTCCACCCAAAGGACGAATGGATGCCTCAGTGCTTTTACATCTGGTTCCCTCTTCACTGAATGAGAATATTGGTCCAAGAACTCAAGTTATTCAGAGAGAAAAACAACAATGGACAACAGCTATTACTAGCAACTTGTGTTATCAAAAAGGTAAGATAATTAAGATTCAACACATCAGAAGACAATTCTGGCAGTTAAAATAATTTATTTTTTGTATTATATTAAATTGTTGTTTAAAAGTAGTATACATGACTAAGTCTTTAAAAGTCATGCTTCAAGAACATTGTTTTGAAGGCGTCTGGCAAATAACACTCATTTTGTAACAAATTTACTTCAGATGATAGATTAAAATTTATTTTTCTTAGAAAAATGTGGCTTAAAACTCAGTGAAATATATATATATATATATATATATATATATATATATAT